TGACCAGAAAGTTTTAATCGAATGCATGGAAGAGCCCAATTTCTGTGTAGTTGCATCCAATTCTCGTTTAACATGTGAGTATTGACTTTGAAGTTCATTTAGACGAGCTTGTAACTCCATAATATATGAATCACGAGAATAGGCTGGATTAATTGATCCCGAAGTTGGATCGGCAAAATTGACACCCATCGCTGCTCTTGATGATGGCCTTTCACGGTAGATAGGATCATCTAATAGTGCATCAGGTTTATCTCGATAGCCAACAGGATCATCTCTTAGGTAAACTGAACGGTCAAGTGATCGATCCCTTGTCCGTGAATGTCGAGTCATATCACACCGGTCAAGTGATCTCTCTCTTGGAGACATGTAAGGGTCACCTGGAACTCCCCCACCACCTCCACGTTCCATTAAAGGATCACGTTCAAGAGAATATGATGATCGTAATGGCATTCGACTTGACCTTCTACCTGATGAGGTTCCATGCATCATGGATGATCGAGGATCCATCAGATGATTCCTTTAGACACTTCGATCCAAAAGATGGTCAAATTATACACTGAATCCACACTTGGAAATTATATTTTATTTTATATCTACAAAATGATTCCTGTTGATTTTTGATCGACTTTTTGATTAGAGAATAATTTTCACTTTTCAAAATTTCGATTCCTTTTGTTAAACTTTCACATTAGGTTTGACTTTTTATTCTCGAACCTTTTAAATACATCAAACAAATTAGAACAACACGAATAACAAGCACTTTTTTCTCGAATAACAATTAACAAATAATATTTTTCTTCTTCTTCTTTCATTCAATTTACTTCAATTCGAAATCTAAATACATGTATATCAGCGAAGCTCTGATTCCACTCCAGCCTCAAACATCCTCATCGAATGTTAAGAAAAGAGAAAATAAGAACTTTAGTTTCAAAATAGAAAACAAGATGACACTAAATGTCTATGGAGAAAAAGTCGAAAAAAAAGAAAACCAGAAAAACTTTTAACCGATTTTTTCTTTGATTGTTGATTAGAATTGCAGTTCCATGGAGTAAATTGATCTGAAATGAATTATTAATCAAATTTGCAATGAGATTTAATCGATGCCTCAATTTGTATGTACACACGTTTTATAATCTGAAACAATCAGATTAATCGTCTTCTTGATCACTATCACAATTGGTAAAATTTTCAACCTCTTTGATCTGATCCTTGTCATCTTCTTGTTCATCCTCATCATCTTCATCATCCTCATCAGTTTGTCTCTTCTTTTTGGTCGATTTTTTGAAAATATCAGCGGGTTTGAATATTCCCTTGGTTGGAACATGACAAATGAAACACTTTGTACTTTTCCTGTATTCGGCTAAGAAACATTTCTCACAGAAATAATGTTCACATTTGGTGACAATTGGATTAGTAAAACCTTCTCGGCAGATTAAACATTTAAATGGAATCTCTTTCTCCTCTGTAATCTCGTAATTAACATCATCTTCACCATAAGTTCCTTTGCGAGCTTCAGCTTCTAATTGCCAACCAGCTTTATAATCACTTCTATCATGTAGGAAAATACAAGAATCACCGAAACCACAAAATCCCGTCTCCTTGAAATCTTTACAAATATCAGGCTGATAATCCCATCGAACTGTTGACCTTATATTGGAAGGAGCTTTCATCGGTCCTTTGGCGATAAATTTGTTCCCACTAACACCTTCCTTATCGCTGTCAATTTGTCTCTCCGATGTTGCGCCCATGTCTTTAGGTCCTTCACGAATAATATCCTTACTGGTAGAATATGATACAGAAATTGATGATTCATCTTCTTCTCCATCAGAATCAGAACTCGATTCAACCTTTGAATTGTTTTCTCTTCCGACATTCCGACCAATACAAACCTTTTTACTCGGTCTAAAGATTACAGTTTCTTCCTCCTCTTCATCGGATGATTTTTCCTCTTCTCTCTTTCGAAAATTAATTTTAACTGGTCTCTTGAACATCTTTACACAATTTAACTCTAATTAAAAGATACAAATAGTAATAGAAATAAGTAAAATACAAAACAATGTTGAGATGAGAAAGATTGATGAGTAGCAACAACCCAAGAAAAATGTAAACAAGAAGTAAGAATAAGCTATTTTCAGAGCAAAAAGGTTGTTTATCCAAAGAGTAAAAACCGACTCTCTCTACTCTTTTCATTTGTCGTTAATTGTAAACAATCAAAACATTTGACAAAATTTGCAAGTTCGAGTTGTATTTCCATCAGTCAATAATTAATCAACAATCAACTACTGATGAAACCGTGGATACATGGATTTGTTGAGTATCTATGATTTTGTTTGTTGGGAAGGAAGAATCAAAAATATCAACTGAATCCATGTGAATCTGGTGACAATTAAATCATCAAATCTTAGTCAATCGATTCATCCTTTTAATTTCCCTCTCACTCATTTAACTTTCTCTGATTCATTTGATGTAATTGATTCCATTTTCTTTTTTAATTCGGTTAACATTTTCTCACTAGCAGCTTGATTAGAGGCCGATTGTTGTGATTGTTGTTGACCCTGTTGTCGTTGTTGTTTCATTGCAAGTTCGAGTTGCTTTTCCATTGAATCAAATTCACTTTTCCTTTTGGTTAATTTTGATTCCAATTCTTGTAAACTTCGAGCTCGTTCATCGAGTGACTTTTTCATCGCCACTAATTCACCACTTTGTTGGGCTAATTGTTGTTGTTGTTGCTGCTGTTGGGCAGTTGCTTGTTGCATACCCTTTTGTTGATTCAGTTTAGCCTGTTGAAGATCCCTCTGAATGAGTCAAATTAAGATAATTGTAATTTAGTTATTAATCAATTTGATTTGAAAGGAGAAAATGTCTCTTACCTCTTTAGCTTCTAATTCATTGATTAACTTTTCGAGTTGATCTTGAAGTCGATCTCTTTCTTGTTTGAATGTCTTCATCTCTTCTTGGGCTCGATCTAATTGTTTCCTTAATTTCATCTAAAGTTTTCAGTAGATCATCTTCCGATTTTGATAATTGTTTCAATCGAGCCACTGATCCAACGTGGATTTGCTGTTGTGTCACTTGTTCCGATTTTAATTTTTGCTGTTGTTGAATTTGATTTGATGCTAATGTTGATTTCGCTGTCGCTAAAGCGTTTTGCAGAGATTTTACTTGGTCTGCAGATCACAATTTCTTCCTCCTCTTCATTTGGTGATTTTTCCTCTTCTCTCTTTCTAAAGTTAATTTTAACTGGTCTCTTGAACATATTTACACAATTTAACTCTAATTAAAAGATACAAATAGTAAGTAAAATACAAAACAATGTTACGATGAGTAGAAACAACTCAAGAAAAAATGTAAACAAGAAGTGAGAATAAGCTATTTTCAGAGCAAAAAAGTTGTCATTTATCTTTAATTGTAAACAATCAAAACATTTGACATTTTTAAAAGCTCAATTACAAAGTAAATTCTCTTTGTTATTAAACTGTACAGATAAAATCGTCACAAAGTCACAGTCGATTAATTGGACAGGAAAAAAGTCGAGTGAAGATCATCAGAGTTGATTGTTAATTGATCATTTACGATTAGTTTTATTTTTAGTTGCAGAAGTCGCAGCCAAAGCTACGGCAGCAACGGCACCAGCAGCAAGAGCCCAAGAGCCCCAAGAATTTTTATCTTTTTGTTTCTGTTTCTGTTCTTGTTGAAATGAGTGGTGAGGTTGATTGAATCGTCGATCAAAACTGTCACTGGCTGAAGTACGATTTGAGATACGACGGGTGACACAATCGATACAACCCTCAGACCGCTGATTTAAGGGGACAAAATTTTTCTTACACTCGACACACTTAATTTTAAGACAATTTATCCGTTGGGAAAGACTTTCACTTGGTATTGATGAGTGAATTGATTGATTGGAGATTGGACATCGACCAGTTTTTTGTAACCATGGACCCAAACAATCAGCACAGAAAAAATGTCCACATTGATCTTTAACCGGGTTATCTAAAACACCCATGCAAACGGACAGATAATATCTCGATCTGGTTCTTCCTTGAACAAGTGAATACGAAAGCCCATCTTGACACGAATTTATCTTTACTGTAAAAGAAAACCAAATGAAATATTAATTAGTTGATTAGAGAAAATAATTATACAAATTGAGATTTTCGAGGCTTAATCAGAGGCGTTGGTAAACTAACAAGGTGACAAATGGAATGGCAGTTGAATAGATTGAGTGAAAATTAGTAACAGAAAGTTAATGATTAGAAATCATTAAAAATTCTGATTACAACAAAGTGTCTTGTGGATTAACCGTTTGCAGGTTAATCATTTACAAATCAATTCTGTTTAGGAATTTGTTTCAAATTTTCAACAGTGTATTTGAATGAATTAAAAAAGGTCTCAATTAGAGATTTCTGATCAATAAATTCAATCGTAAATGTCATTCAAGTTTTAGGTTTTTAAATCTATGAGGAAGTATAGAGTTGACAAAAAATGGAAAAAGTGAAAATTAAAATAGTAAGAAAAAGATACTTGATAATTTCGAGAATATTGAAGAAATTAAATCGATAATTACCTGAAGATATCTGGAAAGAGAAACAGAATTGATTGTGGGCTAAAATTAAACAGAGAGAAATAGAAAAAGGTTGTAAAAATTAAGGAAAACAATTAAGAATAGGAAATGACAAATCCAAGGAAAACAACAACAAATGTAAACAGAAATTTTGATTTTCTGCTGTGGGAATAGACTATTTCCACAGACATTTGTTTAATTGTTGCTTGGAAAAATGAAACAATTAGTTTATTGTTATCTTAATTTCCAGCGAAACAATTAATAATCTGAATATAAAAATAGATAAATTTCCAAAGGTAAATATTACCAATGAGTTTGGAATGAAAGATTTTAATAGATTGGTATTAGTCGGTCAATCTCTTTGGCCCAAGCGGCAATACCACCGATTATATTTAAACTGAATTAGATAACAATTAACTAAATTATCTTTGACGAAATGACATGCGTTTGTGAGCCATTTCCACGGCGACACATGAATAATACTTTATCCACTTTCTTTGAATCAATTAAATCCTTAAGATTATTCAATCCATTTGACTTATCGATAACATCTAACGGTAAATTGATTGCATTGGTTAATTTAACAATTGATTATTGTAATGATGATCGTACACCAATTAAAAGAGGCGTATTGGTGGCAACAATTGTCTCCTTATATTCTTGACAGGTAATCCTTTCCTCTGAAGTGTAAATTTTTTAAATTTTAGAATCATCGCACATTGGTGTATCACAGAATTGTTCATAATCAATTAATTATCCATCAATTATTGGAGAATCACCAAAAACATGACAATTGGAACATTTTTCTTGCAATTTAACATTTCTCATTGACTCAGTTAATTCATCATAAAGAAGCATTTCACCAGCTTAAGATGTTCCAAGATCAGTGATTATCTTAATCACTACCAGTGATTGAAGTGGACCAATTATACCCAGAATTACACCCAATACTCCTCCATCTGAACGATTAGTAACTGTACTCGAAAATGATGGTTTTGGAAAGAGAAAATGGTATTTAGGACATTTACACGGAACTTAGAACTCGTGGTTATGATTATTCAGGATCATTCCAAGGTGTAGAAGAAGTTTCTTCTGCGGAAGTTGGGGATGGTCAAAGACACTGGACATTGAATTAGCTTTGTTGATGCTTGTTTGCAGGTTCCATTATTGGCTTCAAAATCTCGCTAGCAATGTTACTATGAGAAAGATTGATGAGTAGCAACAGCTCGAGAAAAAATGTAATCAAGTAAGAATAAGCTATTTTCAGAGCAAAAAAGTTGTCATTTATCTTTAATTGTAAGCAATCAAAACATTTGACATTTTTAAAAGCTCAATTACAAAGTAAATTCTCTTTGTTATTAAACTGTACAAATAAAATCGTCATAAAGTCAACCCGTCAATTGGTATTGAGTTTTCGGGTATCAATTCGTCTGGTGAACGAGTTATGGGTATTTGTAGTTCTAGTGGATTAGCAACTTCATCAATAATCCAATCAAATTCATCTCGCATCTTTGTTCCTGAAAATTGGACATTAGCCGAAGCTGCAACAGTTCCTGTTGTCTATTTAACAGCTTATTATGGTTTGATTTCTCGAGGAAATTTACAATCTGGTGAAAGTGTTTTAATTCATGCAGGTTCAGGAGGAGTTGGTCAAGCAGCTATTTCGATCTGTCTATCAAGAGGTTGTCAAGTATTCACTACGGTTGGAACACAAGAGAAAAGGGATTTCATTAAGAAACGTTTCCCCTCGAAATTCGAAAATATGTAACTTTTGACCCTTAACCCCTATAATATTGTTCTGCAAGTCGATACAGAATTCAAAAAGCTATCGAATGGTGGTTTTGATATCTTTGTAGTGCTTCAGCCTCTTCAATGTTTGCATCAAAAAAAGTTAATCGTAATAATAGTGTGATTGTGAATTTGGTCAATGAGAAGAATTACAATTGTTTTGTATAAATGAAACATTTCGAAAAGAGAAAAACGTGATTTCAAAACTTTCAATTCTTTTTCAAGAAAGAGAATTATTTCTCTCGCAACTTATACCATGTATCATTTTTTATAGGAATGAAAAAAGATGAAACGAGAGTATAAAAAAGTTCTTCTCCTATTGAAACAGTTTTTATTTCTTTCGAAAACAAAACATAAAAAAATAGAAAAGATTTTCATCATCATCATTATCTTCCCAGTAATCCCACCTTGAAAAACTTCCACCTCCTAGTTTTCATTTTTTCCATCATAATTCAGTCTCGCTCATGTTTTCACCATTATAACATTTTCCTATTAGATAGAAATTCTCAGCCCCAGCATTTGTTGCTGATGAAGACGAAGAGAGAAAGAGTGAGAAGGGGGAGAGAGGAAGATTCTTATATGATTGTTGTTTTCATCTGAATTCTCACCCTCCAAGAACTTGATGTTATTATTATTATCATTTTAAAGGTTAACCGATATTAAACTTTCTTGTAACAATATTTTTCATTCACTTAACCCACCATCACCATCACCCCACCTCCTCCAACATCAACATCATCATCATCATCACCATTATCATCCCACCTCATCTTAATGCTGATGTTTTTCACTTTCATCTAACTTGAGATGGTAACATTTTGTTACACTTTCAGAGATTGTTATTGTTTAAATGAAGACAAATGATCAACTTTCTACAAAAATCATCATTCTCATGATAATGATGAAAATTTTCACTGAATTTAATATTATCTATATTATCCTCATGTTCATGATTACATCTCAAGGTGTGAATATAATCATCATGGAAATTTGTTTTCATTGATAATAATGATACAAAATAATAATAACATTTCAAATCTAATAAAGATTAATGATAAAGAATTGAAATTTTTTAATCAAAATTAGTTTTTTTTTCTCAGGATGAAAATTGAAATAGCATGATGATCATAGTGGTTAATGAAGATTCATTAAATTTAATCACAATGATAATGATACAATATTTTTCTGGTTTAATAACTTAAGTAGCGAAGCAAAAAAGTTTTAATCATAAACAATTAAGTTGAAAAAACTTTTTAAATTGGAAAAACAAAACAAACAAACTTTCATCAAGATCGATATTTTCATTTGTCCATTAGTTTTGTTATCATGAAGACTCTGGATCTCTTGGAATGTCATGGAAACTAATCAATCATGGATATGATTAAACATGAACTCTTATTGAATTTGTCTCATCATGTTCATCAATCTGTTGTTGTCTCAAAGTAAATAGTAATCATGATCAGCTCAGAAAATATATTCTGAACAGAATTGATTGATTCTTATGTCCAGAATAATTCAGGCTCCATTCTTATATTAACTCTCATGAATAAGATGATAAAAGGACAATATTGAAACCAGAATTTAGTGGTTCCTACGAGTAGATAATATTACATGGCGATTAACATTATCAATCGATCTCATGAGATCAGGAAAATTCTGAAGGCCTAAGGATAGACATCAGGTAAACAATTAAAAGGAGAGAATGAAAATCAAAGTTCTCCATGAAATCTGATTTATAGATAGAGTCAAGATAAAAGAAAATTCTTGTTGATTTTCAAGAACTTTTTAGAAAAATTCGAGAATATTATTCCAAATGGTGAGAACTGATTAAATAATCATTATTGATAAGAATTTTGCTCGAAAAAGAAAACGAAAAGATTTAATATTTCATTATGATGAACATCTTGATGATCATGAATTAATACATGAAGATAGAAAAAATGTTCTGATGGATGAAGAGATGAAAAAATGCTGAGAACTGGTAAAAAAGTTCTTAAAGAAAAGTTCATCATGCTTTCAAACGGTCACTAAAATGGTGACGAGAGAAAGAAAAAGAGAGAGAGAGAGTTTCTTCTGAACAAACAAAAAAGTTCTAATCCATTTTATGAATTCGACTCGTTCAGAATTAAAAACTATCCATTGATAAAAAGCAAAGAAAAAAAATGAAACAGGAAACAGAAACGATTTGAGATTCTGAGGTTGAATTAAAAGCAGGAAATCGGAAGTAGGGAAACTTATTAAATCTCTAGGACAATGATTATCACTCATGTCCATCATGTTGTCTCTCTCACTTTCGTTTTAAGAGGTTGGGGGAGTTGCAGGGACTAAGGATAAGATATTAATCTTAGGATGAGAGAGACAAAAAAATTTCTCTCATCTTACATTTGAGTTTGGAAACTCAGAAAAAGATTAACCAACTTATCAGACTAATCTCAAAGTGACCAACCAAATCTTTCATCATGTTTAGTGAAAGAAAGAAACAATTATCATATTATTATAAATCATCTCAATCATTTGAAAAGGATAATCAATACAATTATCATGAAAGATATGATTAAGAAAATGTTTCTAATATTAAAGGGATTCAATCATTTGCCATGATAATCAATTATTTCAAATGGGACTCAGTGGATTCAGTTGAAAGCCTTTTTCATCATGATAATAACATAAGTTACTCAATTGGTAAGCTGTTAATATTCATATTCATCTGAATGATTATCATGATCATTTTCAACTCCCCTCAACATGATAACAAATAATCGCAAGGTAATCATCACAATAATGATAAGTTGGAAATTAATTCTTCTTTATTCCGATCATTATTTTCCTTTCACCATGAGAAAATTGGTAAATGAACAACAGGGTAGATGAAAATAATCAAAATTCATGATAGATGAGAAAAGCCAGTCAGGTTTTCGAATATGAACATTCAGAATTTTCCAGCGATATTCTTTTCTTTTGCTTCAGGGTGATGAGAATTGTAATAACAGTTCATTCATAACATCACCTGGCAAGTGTTCCCATGTAACTAATTGACAACAGAAAAGTTTATTCATGATGATACTTGAAATTCAGATTCAGAACTTTCAACTGGCGAAAAGCTTATAAAAACAATCAACTTGAATTGTTAATTAGCAAATCAAATTGAGATTCATTGAGTGTCACTGATGGAAAATTTCAATAAACTCTTGTCTCGAAAAATGAATCTTTGGCTCACACTTAGAACTTTTTTCATATTCTTTTTGTTCTGACTTTGTCAAGTTCGATAACAAAACCATCCTCATCGTAATATAATTGCTACTAATAATATTTTTATGATGTTCCCAAGAGAAAGGTAAAATAAAATTAAATCAACTAACACAATTAACTTTTAACTACTAATATAATGAAAAAAATTCGATTTATAAATCTTAATCTAATTATCGGGTTAAATTTCGATCAAATTAAATTGTTTAACTTGACGAATTGAATCAATTTTAAATGTTCACAGAGAGAAAGAGAGACCTTGAATTGTTAATATCGATTTTAAGTTGAATCAACAATTGAATCTAATCGTAGTTAATCTTGATCTCGAACTTGTTTTCTTTAGTTGCGAGTAATTGGCTTTTCATCGAGTTCTATTAATAAGGTAGTGCAACTGAAAATTGACACATAATTTTAATTGTTGATTGTTCATCAATCAGAGAGTTTTAATTATTGAAATCGACACCAAAGATAGAAAAATTTTTGAGGATTCTAATGACACTAAAAAAATATTAATTAAAAAAAGACTTAAAATTATTAGCATTTAAATCAATTTATCAAACTTAAATTGTCAAATTCATATTGAAAATCTGGTTTTTGCTAAATTTAAATACAAAAGTTTTTTCTTTGAAAATTTTACAAATTTTTTAATACGAAATTAAAGTCCTTTCTAATCTACTATATGGTATGAAAATATTGGTTAACTTGATTAGTTCTAATTATTTAATTTAAAGAAACAATTAGATAATGATAAATCCGTCGATAATGTTTCTGTTAAGTGCTTAACATTGTTTTACCCATAGAGGGAGCTATAAAAGTTAATTTATTTTCAACAATTAGTTAAAAAATATTTGATTGATTTTGTTAATTGTTGTATTTTTATAATTGATGTCATTAGAATCTCAAATCTGATCTACTATTGTATCAATTTCAATAATTAAAGCTCTCGGTTGACAAATAATCAACAATTTAATTTATGTATTTCAGTTGCACTACCTTATTAGAAGTGAATGGAATACAGAAAAACAAATAGTTTAGATTTTGTAACATGAGTTTTAAGCTCTATTCTCATGAGTAGCATGTAACAGTTTGAGAGTTTATTTAAATTGTGACAATTTGATGTTAATTCGAGAGGGAGAAAGTTCTAATATTACCTGAGAAAGAAAAGTTTCAAAGTCTCTTTGTTTGTTCATGAGGCTTTCATTGTAATATTTTACTCTCATGATAATAGGTTGATTTCATTATTGATTATTCAGTATTTAAATTACAATTTTCACCTTTAGTTTCTGCAAAATTTGATAGTTTTCATATGAAATTCAATGAACTGATATTCACCATGAACAGTCATGATAATAATAAATCAGGCAAAATATTTCAATGCAATTGATTTATGTTACATTTTGATGGAAACCATTGAAATGATATCTTGTCATTATTTGAATTCTGTTCAAAATCAGTTGTTATATTTACCAACATGATCATGTTGGAGATAATATTTTTCAAAATTAATATCAATTCTCAAATGCATCCTGCCTTTAGATAATAACTGATACATTCACCAGGAGGCAACTGATGATTATTATGATAATAATGATGATTATCAAGTAAAGATATTTTATCTATCATCATTATTTTATTAGTTTTATCATAATAATGCTGGGGATGATGAGAGTGAAAAGTTCATCCCAAGTGAGTATCTTGTTTTGGCTTCGATTCACTGTCATCATTATCTTATCG